GGCCCCCCCGGGTCTTTTTCTGCCGGGTACCTTCCCAGCCACTCGTCCCCAGGCCTGTAGCATTGCCTGGGGTTGTTGTGGCCCAAGGGTAGGACTTGCTGAACCTCACACAGTGGCCTCAACCCATCGATCCAACCTGACCAGATCCATCTGCAGACCGTTTCTACCCTCATGGAGATCAACACTCTCACCCAACTTGGTGTCATGTGCAAACTTACCGAGGGTGCACTCGATCCCCTCATCCAGGTCATGGATAAGGATACTAAACAGAACTGGCCCCAGTAATGAGCCCTGGGGAACACCATGTGTGACTGGCTGCCAAATGGATTTGACTTCATTCACCACAACACTTTGGGCCTGGCCAATCAGCCCATTTTTGACCTAGCGAAGAGTACACTCCTCCAAGCCATGAGCAGCCAGTAACGCCAGGAGAATGCTGTGGGAAATGGTGTCAAAGGCTTTGCTAAAGTCTAGGTAGACAACATACACAATCTTTCCCTCATCCGCTACGTGGGTCACCTTGTTACAGAAGATCAGGTCAAGCAGAACCCGCTTTTCATAAACTCATGCTGACTGGGCTTGATCACCAGGTTGTTCTGTACACACCTTGTGCTGGCACTCCAAATGATCTGCTGCATAGCCTTCCCTGGCACTGAGGTCAGACTGACAGGCCTGTAGTTCCCCATATCCTCCTTCCGGCCCTTCTTGTAGATGTAAATGTGATCATTTACTAAATTCCTGTCAACAGGGACCTCCCCAGTCAGCCAGAACTGCTGATAAATGACGGAAAGTGGCTTGGTGACCACTTCTGCCAGCCCCCTCAGTACCCTTGGCTGGATCCCATCTGGCCCCATAGACTTGTGTGAGTCTAAGTAGTGTAGCAGGTCACTAAGCATTTCCTCTTGGATTATGGGAGCTTCGTTCTGCTCCCCATTCCAGTCTTTCAGCTCAGGGGGCTGGGCAACCCACAAACAACTGGTCTTACTATTAAAGACTGAGGCAAAGAAGACATTGAGTGTGTCAGCCTTTTCCTTATCCTTTGTCCCTATGTTTCCCCTTGCATCCAATAAAGAATGGAGATTCTCCTTAGCCCTCCTTTTGTTTCTAATGTATTTATAGAAACATTTTTTCTTGTCTTTTACAGCAGCAGCCAGGTTAAGCTCCAGCTGGGCTTTGGCCCTTCTAATTTTCTCCCTTCATAACCTCATGACAACACATCTAGCAGGGCATTCTGCCTAGTTGACTCCCTTACCAGCTGTGTCAGGAAGTTACCTTCCACACTCTTGAGGAACATCCAAGACTGTCTCCTCTCTGCTGTATTGTATTTCCAGCAGACGTCTGGTAAGTTGAAGTCCCCTGTGAGAAGAAGGGCTAGCAATCACGAGACTTCTCCCAGCTGCTTACAGAATATTTTGTCTGTTTCTTCATCCTGGTTGGGAGGTTTATAACAGACTCCCACCACGATACCTGCCTTGCTGGCCTTACCCCTTCTTCTTCCCCATAAACACTGAACCCTATCATCACCATCATTAAGCTCTGGGCAAACCACTCCCTGACACAGAGGGTTACCCCACCGCCTCTCCTTTCTTTCCTGTCCCTCCCAAAGAGTTTATAGCTATCCGTTGCAGCAGTCTAGCTTTGCGAGTCACCTCACCAGGTTTCCACGATGGCGACTATGTCACAGCTTTCCCACTGCACGGTGGCTTCCAGCTCCTCCTGTCTGTTGCCCACATGCAGCGTGCACTGGAGTAGGTCCACTTCAGCTGGGCTACTGATCATTTCTTTAGGGGGAGAAGCCTTAATTCCTAGGTGATGGTTCTCAGGCACTTCCATAGTTTCTAACGCATCTTGCATCTTTGCTGCCACATGGATCTCCCATCCCCTACATCCGCTGAGACAACAGACTGAAGGACCCCACTAGCACACCATCCCTCAAACACTGGCGTGCATACGGGTTGACAAACCTGACTTCACTATTACATAATTATGTAATGACAGACGGAGCTGTAGCTCCAACCAATCCACTTGGTTTAAAGAGTCCAACATCAAACCCCAGTGCCAAATTAAAGCCCTTGGTGACTCCAGGGTGGTTATGTCTCAGCCAGAAAAGGCACAGAGTGAAGTGGGGAGACAGAGCTGTATGCGCCCACTGCAATCATATGGTGACTACTGGGTGCCATGCCGACATTCATCACTAATGGAGGGGTTTGAGCTGCCTTCAGCTTGACATAACTTGCTGGAGGCAAGCCTGAGCCTCCAGGACTGTCATGCATGCACTTTTCTCATCAAACTCTCCAGCACTGTTAGGCTTCCTAGCAGAAAGGTTAAAGGGACAGCAGTCACAGAAAAAAGCATTTGTTGATTCATCTTAATTAGTAAATTTTCCTTTAAGTTAAAGGATAATAAAGCCTAACCAATTCATACCTTAATGGAATACCATGCTTAGGTTCTATATGTGAAGAAGAGGAGAAAAAAAATCCAGCAGGCAATGAAGAAGTGCTAGATCTTAATCACAGCTATCAAGATAATATCCCTTTTTATACCATTCTATTCACATGACACTTACCAGCCCAGTCCAGTTGGCCACTATATTAACCAGTAGCTTTCACATTGCCAGTACTCACCAATTTATAAAAACAGCTTCAAACAAACAAACAAACAAGCCCACACAAAACCAAACACCTATTTTTCTTTGGACTATGAAAGGAAAAAGCTTTCAGTTCTGACTTCAAGGCACATTATTAGCCACTAAGCCACTGTTTGTGAAAATCACCTGGGGGCAAATTCTAAGCGATTTGATTCTGTTTTTCCTTTGTCACTACTTAAATCACTAGTTGACTGAAGTGTCCTTTGCCAAGGAATTTCACTCTGAAGTGGCAAGCCAGCACCACAGGCCCAGCTCCTTGCTATCCTAAATAAGCTGCTAAATCAGCTCTCTGTTGATAATACTCTCATCAGATAAGAGGATGTGACTGTCACTGAAGAGATGCTGAGTCCTTCCAGAGCTACTCCAGAGCAGAGTAAATTGTAGCACAGAAGGGAAGACACGAATCTGAGATTTTGTTATATCTAGATGTTGGTTACAGCTGTGCCTCAAGCATTTTGTTCTTGAAGTTGCATTAAGGAAAGTGTTTGTAACCAAAAATCCCTGCAACTCTTCAACAGTAGAACATAGGCTGATTAACGTCCCAAAAGCCATTAGTAACTAGAGCCATTGTGACCTGGAATTAACTTACCTCAATTGCACTAGTGTATTGCTCAAGTCTACTGTCAATCTTTGAGACAACTGCTGTTGTGTGGGTGGGTTTCATACCACTGTAGGAAGCAGAAAAAAGAGAAAGAAATTATTATTCCCTGCAATTAAACACCGCTGTTTTGACTGAACATACCGGTTAATCGTTTTACCTCTTCTGAGCGGATTTGTTCAAAAATTCTGCTCGCTCCTCTATCTAGAAAAGAGAGAAATAAGAGCTATACATTTATAGTTAATAAAAAGGCAGCCTGTACAAGGCCACATCGTCATTTTAAATGTCAAAAGGTCAATCTGAAAGAGATGCATTCCAACACAAATCACCACAGACACACATGCAGGTTTTATACTTAGGAACCCATAATGCTACAGATTCACAAGGGTGGATTTATTTCCTGCATTTCCTCATTCACAACAAGCGAATAAACCACCGATATGGAAAGGGAAGAAGTTTATCTTATGAAAGAGGTTGATATGCAGAAGACCTATGTCAAATTTCCTCATATCTCCCACATAAAAGCAAGTATGTATCTCTTGAGACAGATAGCAAATTTAATAAAGATTTTCTAAGTTGGGAAATCAGGCTAGGCCAGATTTGGAGCTCAGCCATATACCCTTTCTCATGCATGTTTTTGCAGGACATTATTTAATTTGAGCTCCAAAATACCCATCAGACTGTACTTTGCTCATGTTGAGCAGGGTCACTGCTGAGTCAATATCTACCAGCTGTTATTATACAAACTTACATTTCATCATTATTTTCTACTCTGTATACAGGACAATACTATACTGTTTCCAGGGGAAAAAGAATCATGAAGGTCTCATAAGACTAATGCCAAATCTCTTGATAATCCAAGAGGAAAAAGACTCCACCCCTGAATAAAGTTTTAAAACATTTCACTACTGAGTGAGGGGCTGGGGGAATGTCTATTTGCATTCTGGGTCAAGAAATACTTTAATAAACTAACTCATGACTCTTCCACGTTGCACTGGTCCACTTCTTGTCCCAGGCTCTGCAGTTTCTTTTAAGAGTAAAGTATATACAATCAGTTCCAGGGAATTGAAATGACTATTAATCAGCCTGGCTGGATTTGTGGGGATTCCCCGATCTCAATGTCAGTTGTCCGTTTTCAGGTTGATTTAAGAATGACTACTGGGACATTCATGCCTTTAAAATAAGTCAGTGTCAGCCATTCCTCTAAAAGGCCCTCCTTGGTGCCCTTCGCATTCAGGCTGTACCAGAATACTAAATCCCACAGCAATCCCATCAAAGAGAAAGCATGTTTTATTTCTCAAGCCCATACAAGCAAAATCTCAGGCAGTTCACTTCAGTGCAGAATTTGCCAAACAAACTCCCTGGCAGAACTCCAGCTAGCATCAATCGAGCTTAAAGGCACCTCTAAAGCTCTAAAACAATATACACCATTTACAGAGTAATTTACATTAACAGTTTTAGTTGCCAACGTATGACCTAAATAGAGCCCTGAGTGGAAAGATGTACCAACTGCTCCAATGCATCATTGTCACAAGGTGGCAGGAATACACCAGGCAGGAGCTGAAGAGCCACCGGAGCTCAGGCTCTCCCACTGCCAGCCTTAACTGTTCACAGCTTAGTTTCACCCAGAGGAAATACAGTTGGCATCGCCATAAAATGATCAAGTAAATTAGTTGATTAAAAATCACGAAGCAGATCTACGTACGATGGTAACTTAAAACACATCACCTCTCCTCAACTATGGTAGAGTAGGAATTGTTTCCTGTAACTCTGATTTCTGGGACGTAACCAGCAATGCATCAAAACACTGAGTTATACCAACAAGAGCCGCTGGTTTCTCCCCTGCTCTGCATGGATGGTTAATTCCCTAAACTGCATCAGTGAAACCCTGGCTGGCAGTAGGGACAAACAATGTGGACTGTCTCAAAGAACCAGGGCTCAAGGTAACCATCCAATAATAAATTTACAGCCCCTTCTAGTTCCGATGAACTGAGATTCTGCTTGAAATCTTACAAAAGGGACCTATCTTCTAAGATGCTAACAGTAAACTATACTTTTCCTGCATTCAGGAAGGGGACGTATTTCTACACAGCAGGAAAACGATAGGTTGGAGGGAAGAGGGACATGTATTCCTTGTGGTTGTAGTAAAAAGACATGGGGTCATTCTTCACCCGCTGGGAACAGCTGTGGTATCGGGAATAAGTCAGGGATTGTTCAGAACAGGAGAGTGAGGAAGCGAACCAGAAAATATGTTAAACAGGAAAGCAGGGTTAGGAAGCAACCCTCAGAGCTGAACATGGTCCTCCTTCCCGAGGAAGCAGGTGCCTTGTGTGGATGGGTAACGTATTTTCTGTACATTTACATGAGAATTTGTTCTAGAACATCTTTCTCAAAACACTGTGTGCATGAAACAGAACTATACGTTGAATACACTTGGAGCAAACACACCTGTATACACACGTGTATTCAATGTATAAGACAAATACATTTAGACTGCACAGCAACACCTAAAGGCCATTTATCCACTGCACACCACACAAACTCCATGCAAAGAATTTAAAATGTTTGGCACATACAGTAAACAGTATTACAAAATAGATCTGTAAGAGAAAGAGGCAAAGCAAAGCAGTCAGCACAAAATGCAAAGTATTTCCTCAATTTGAGAGCAGGGAATAAGAATAATCAGTTTTTGCTGTGTTCATTTTAACAAGATCTTTTTAAACAGTTTGGACTATGGTTTGCCACCATGGAATACCTTCCAAAGCCTCTGACACAGAACACACAAGTATTCCAAAGAGTCAATCTGATGGACTCTAATTAAATTATGACCAGAGACAAAGAACAGAGGATCTCAGGCTGCATCTCTCCCACCTAACCTCAGTTGCTTAAAAGTTAAGCATTTAGTCTAAATTACGCATCTTGGTTCCCTCTGTAGTCAGTGGAACCCCCTGGAGTGCTGCATCCAGCTCTGGGGCCCCCAACATAATAAGGATATCAACCCGTTGAAGCGAGTCCAGAGGAGGGACAAAAATATGGTCAGAGAACTGGAGCATCTCTCCTACAAAGAAGCTGAGAGAGTTGGGCTTGTTCAGCCTGGAGAAGAGAAGGCTCCAGGGAGACCTTATAGCACCTTCCAGTACCTGAAGGGGCTACAAGGAAGCTGGGGGGGACTTTTTACAAGGGCCTGTAGTGACAGGACAAGGGGGAACGGGGTTAAACTGAAAGTGGGGAGATTTAGATTGGATATCAGGAAGAAGTTCTTCCCAGAGAGGGTGGTGAGGCACTGGGACAGGTTGCCCAGAGAAGCTGTGGATGCCCCATCCCTGGAAGTGTTCAAGGCCAGGCTGGATGCGGCTTTGAGCAACCTGGTCTAGTGGAAGGGGTCCCTGCCCATGGCAGGGGGGGTGGACTTAGATGGTCTTTAAGGTCCCTTCTAGCCCAAACCATTCCGTGATTCTGTGAAGAGGCACGGGAGCTCACCTCACCCTAGGAAAGGTGGGATTGCTTGTCCACTGAGAGTGGGTCTCTATTAGCCACCAAGACATCTTAGATTAGACTACAGAATGCTTAGATGGACACTTACCTTTCTGCTCATCAAGTCAGATGAAGTGAAACCAAAGGACATAAACAAAAACCACACGGATTCTCACACCTGATTAGGGACTTAGTCAACATGGTCAGCACATACAGGTGACAAGAAATAAATTAAGCAAGATGCTATGCAGAAATACATGTGTGCATTTATCCACATTCAATATTATACAGACATGTTTTGTTTGCTGATTGTGCGAGAGATGTCTGCCCTTTTGAAAATGCAGTTAAGTGTGGGTGTCAAAGTGCACTATCTTCTGTCTACATTCTCCAGGAACAGAAACAGAATGGAAGGGGAATGAATTAATACACAATTTGAGCCAAAGACTTGGGAAAAATCATCCAGATATTCCCAGTAAAACTTGTTTCACACAAAGGTATTAAATTATTCTTAAGAATTTTATATCATGTATTAGATATTATGCAACAGAAAGTGTCATAAACTGATATGTAGAAAAACTGTTCTCAAAAAAATGGGTCAAGAAGGAAAGAGAATAAGAAATGCATACAGAAACCAGAAATCCCTAATTTTGCCTCTTATCCAACGGTGGAAATCCATTTGGAGTGGTAGCCCCTGTGAGTAAAGCAGCTTCTCCCTGTCTTCTCAAGTGGCTCACGTGCTCTTTTGCTTCATTAAGCACAGTTAGGCTTTTTCCTGCTGTCAGCAGCATCTGTGCAGAGGGCACAAATTTACCCCAGTTTACCTACCAGACTAGAGTGCTGCTATCAGCACCAAAGATGAGGGAAAAACAAACGTCACAAATCCTGTTCTTACCACTCTATCTTCCCTCCGCTGCAAGAGGAGCGCACCTAGGAAGAATTGATTACGTGGAGTTTAATTTTTCCTAGTCACTGGTCCAGCTATCAGGTTTTGAGAGCAATAATGAGACAGGACAAGATAGGTCTTTAAGGAAAGGGGAAAAAAAAATCTTGCATCCTGAAAAGTCCTATCTTCCAGCTTAGCTGTCAGCATCGCCTTGCAGAGTATAGGCTTCCACATCATCCCATGTTTCCCAGGAGACATTTTCTGCAAATACAGGAGATACCCCAGGCTCCCAGACTCCTGCCATTGCTTCCTCCCCTCAATGCCTAACACCTTTTGCTTTTCTGTAGTAGTGGAGCTCACCCCCAACAAGAAAGTTAGTATTGAAATACCTTGTTCTCTCCCAATTAACCTAGAGAATAGTCAATAACACTCCTTACCGAAGAAAACATGAGGAATTAATTTCTCTTAAAAGGAGAATGAACAAAGATTATGCAGGGAATCTCATTCTTCTACTGCAGCAGTATTTACAGCCCTGGTGCTGTCACTGGGAGTGCTTCTTGCTGCTGCAGTAGTTCTGCTGAACTAGTGTCTCAGCTTTCCAGGAAATACTGTACTTAACAGTTAAACAAACAGGAGTTGTCAATACTGTGTAGTCTGTGATTTATTAGAGGCCAGACTAGATAATGACAGTAGTTCTTTCTAAATATAATCATGTATGTATAATATTTCTGTGTTTGTATACATTCACTTATGTATGTGCACCCATGAGCCATGTAATACATGGAGATGAGTGGCACATTTTGGTCTTTCAATTCTGAGTCTGCAAGGTCATGCTAATCCATCCCTGTCTGACGGATAAACACAGTGTCCATAAGATGGTAATATCACAGAAACATAGAATGGTTTGGCTTGGAAGGGACCCTAAAGATCATCTAGTTCCAACCCCCCTGCCATGGGCAGGGACACCTTCCACTAGACCAGGTTGCTCCAAGCCTCATCCAGCCTGGCCTTGAACACTTCCAGGGATGGGGCATCCACAGCTTCTCTGGGCAACCTGTTCCAGTGCCTCACCACCCTCTCTGGGAAGAACTTCTTCCTGATATGTAATCTAAACCTCCCCGCTTTCAATTTAAGCCCGTTACTCCTTGTCCTGTCACTAGAGGCCCTTGTAATGCCTTTTCAGTTTATCTCCCTTCTTTCCTTTGTTCTTGTAATTTACTTGCTAAGCAGTACGCCCCACTTTCCTCATTTAAGTTACTCGCAGGAACTTCTTTTTCTTCCCAAAAACTTAGCACATCAGGAAGGACAAGGAAGTAGAAAAAGATGCTTTGCCAGATTAAGATCTAGGAGAAGTCAGAATGTGCACATTTCCTACAGTATGTTAATACTGAGCCGCCCTTTTTTCATTATTAAATCCAACCACCCACCCACAATTGTACATTTAGATTTCTCACATGACTCATGACACATCTAACAAGATGATACATTCATCAAGGGAGAAAATATGTGCCAGATGCTTTACAAGTCAAAAGATAACTTGGGCAGTGCGTAACGGGCAATAAGAAAGCTGTGTACCAACCAGGTTACGCCAGGCTGGGAAGCCTGTCCAAATGAAAGGTAACAAAATATACTGTCTTCTAAAAACTAGAGTCTGACATCAAATTTGACATCAGGTTATTAAAATGAGATTATTGTCTCCTCAGCTATTTACCACAGAAGGCCATGAAACAGCTTAGGGCGTGAAGTTCAATAGCATTATATACCTACTCTGGCCACCCACAGACACTGGACTGGAATATGTACAGTACCACCAATTTCTCAGAGATAGAAACAGAGAAAGACAAAAATGTGTACAGAGTTGCATATACCAGGTTTCATAACAAACAACTACCTAACAAGCCTTAAAACCCAGCAGCAATTATCATCATAAAAAATGGACTTTGGATGCTTAATGACATTTGGAAAATTCCATGTCTCCTCTAAAAATACACTTAACAGAATAGTGTAACATCAGTCCAAAAGCCCTCTGAATGCTATTAACCTCTTGCCAAATCCAGTGTTTCTTCCCACTCTCCCCAAAATTATGATCTATATCTTTCTATTATGTGTTTTCAAGTATAATTTTCTCTGTTCTGAGTCATCTGTGAACTAAAGCTCCAAATGTATGTCATAAAAGGCATCTCAATAAGCAGAAAGAAGAAAGAGAAGCCCTCCCAGGAGGGCTGGGAAGACGTTGTACATTTATACTGTTATTGACATGGTCTTTTGCAACCGAAATGGCAAGACCAGGTTTATCTAATAGGAGCAAGTTGTGAAGCTTGGCAATCTTCGTTTACAGCTGTGTGTATTCTGTCCATGTATTTCATGTTCAGATGTGTCTGAGAAGTCAAAGGCAAGTCCAATCAAAAGCACGTGGACAGTGTATCTGCTAGAGCTGGACCCAAAACAGTATAGGGCTGAAGCTCCAGATCGGTTCCAAGTGTAGCAATCTGAGCAAAAATGTAATTTTGACCAAAAGCACTGTATCATTATTGTGGTTTAATCCAGCCAGCAGCTAAACGTCACACAGTTTGCTCACTCTCCCACACTTCAAATGAGATGGGGGAGGGAATCAGGGGGGAAAAAAGCAAAATTCATGGGTTGAGACAAAGACAGTTTAATAGAAAAGGAAGGGATGATAATAATAATAATAAAGAATATACAAAGTAAGTGATGCACAACGCAATTGCCCACCACCCACTGACTGATGCCCACCCAGTATAGTGGCCTCAGGCCAGCTTTCCCCCTAGTTTATTAACTGAGTGTGACATCATATGGTATGGAATATCCCTTTGGCCAGTTTGGGTCAGCTGTCCTGGCTGTGCCTCATCCCAACCTCCTCACTGGTAGATCAGTATGAGAAGCTGAAAAGTCTTTGACTTAGGATAAACACTGCTTAGCAACAATTAAAACACCACTGTGTTGTCAACATTATTCTCATCCTAAATCCAAAGCACAGCACTATACCAGCTACTAGGAAGAAAATTAACTCTACCCAGCTGAAACCAGGACAGTCACTCCATAAATACAATTCTTAATCCCATGGAGATCCACTTCATGGTCCAATGAGCTCCTACCTGATAACCTCCTGCCTGGTTCTTTTATCTCCTGGTGCCCACTAAGGGGACTTTTTTGACAAACATTTTGGATTCTTAAATGACTAATGACACAAAATGAGAAAAGTAAAAGGTAGTTGAAAACAATTACTACATCTGTAGTTTGATCTTGAGCTGAGAAAACAACTGGACTGAATACCAAAACAATGTTCCCGATAATTTCAGTGCAGCCAAGATTCCTCTTCCATGCTGAAAGGCCATTTAATTGATTTATCTGACTTCCAATATAATATAGCCCACAGAAAACTACTTAGAAATTCCTGCAGCAACAAAACTTTGTTTGTTTTTTTTTTTTTCCCCTGTTATGTAAGAAAATGAAATCCAGCCCAGTACTCCTAGAGGTTATTTTTAGGGAGAGTAGACATACGCTAAAATTCCCATATGGGTCAGTTTCAATTAATGATGATTAGGCTGAATAGGCTTAAAGACAAAGTAATCTGGCAAGGAAGAAAATAACTGTGGATGTGGAAGGGGAGAGAGAACACTTGTGATCTTTATCTACGCCAGTTCACAGAGCACTCCTATAATAAATTAACATTGAAAACCAACAAGTAATACAACTCTAAGTTTCCAAAATAATTTTCTTTTGAAAGCGAAGATAATTTTTGGACATTTTTCATCAACAAGAACAGGTAACTCCCACACTAGACTCTGTATTTAGAAAGCATGCCTAATTTTCAATCATCCCAATGAATGAAGTCTTTTAGCTAAAGGTTTCAGGTGAAGGTCTATTTCAAAGCATTGTCCCAGGTCTGATTTCAAGTATTTCCACACTGCTTTGGTGTTTGGGTGTTGGTTTGACTGAAACACCCATTACTTTTACGTAATGGGTAATTACTTTTACGTAATATAGCTGTTAGTAGGGAGCTTACCTTGAGAGATGAACCTTTAGGACTGAAACATTTAAATGGCTTCTTGTCTTCAGATACACCATCTTCTGGCATCTTTTGACGTTTTTCAGCAGCTTCAGCCCTTCTCCTTTCAATTTCTTCCTTCATCCTCCTCTTTTCCTCCTTAAAAAAAAAAAGGTCACTTATTCTTTCAGAAACCACATCATCATTACATGGCTTTGCAGTCCTGCAAACATTTACCAATTTTCTAAGAAGAGATTTTCATGCCAGTCAAAAGAGTTCAGCAACCTATCTGAAATCTAGCAACATATTGCTCTGAATCCCTCATGGTGTTAAGGAATCAGGGAAGGCAGCTAGTCTGTGCTGCTTTAGTGCGTCTCCTCAAAGTGAGGTCACCAGATTTATTGGCATATAGTGCCACTTAAAGAGAGTGTCATGGTTTAGGCCCTTCCAGCAACTTAGCATCACACGGCTGCTCGCCTACTCCTCGCCACCCAGGGGGATCGTGAGGAGAAAATTTCAGGAAAGGCTCATGGGTCAAGACAAGGACGGGGGGGATCACTCACCCATTATGGTCACAGGCAAAACAGACTGGACTTAAGGAAGAAAAATCAATTTAATTCGTTACCAATCAAATCAGAGTAGGACAATAAGAGATAAAACCAGATCTTAAAATCCACCCCTCTCTCCTTTCCGGGCTCAGCTTTAGTCCCAGTTTCTCTACCTCTAGCAACCCATCAGTGCAGGAGGACAGAGAATGGGGGTTGCGGTCAGTCCATCACACACTGTGTCTGCTGCTCCCTCCTCCTCAGGGGGAAGACTCCTCACACTCTGCCCCCTGTTCCAGCCTGGGGTCCCTCCCACAGGTCACAGGAGAACCTTTGCTCTGGCCATCTCCTCCCCTCCTTTCCTCACTGACCCAGGTGTCTGCCCTGTTGCCTCTCTCACATCACACTCCTTCCTTCACTGCAGGTTCCACAGCAGTTTTCCCCACTCTTAAATTCATTACCCCAGAGGTGTTACCACTGTTCTGGCTTTGACTGGCCTTGGCCAGAGGCACATCTGTCTTGTAGCTGGGGAAGCTTCTAGCAGCTTCTCACAGGAGCTGACCCAGTGGCTCCTCCCCTGATACCAAAACTACTCCACACACCATACAGAGTGAAAAAAGTACATTTATAAAAATATTCAAATTCGATTTCTCTGTAATCTCATGTATCATCTTTATACCATTCTTCTGTCCAACTACTCCAGCACTTGTTGTTCTAAGGTCTATACTTCACAAGGAAAAATCAATAGGTGCCCAAAGAAGTGAAGACTAAATTGTTACAGCTTTCCCTCCAAAGAAACAACATGAGTTTTTACTTCATAAACTGCAAGTCAGAGCAGAAGACCTCAAAGCACAACCACTGTGAGCATTCAGCAGGGTCTTACCAGCAAGGTATTGTGCAATCTCAGCATCTACTGAGTTCTGCTGTGAAGAGCTCAGTATATTAAAGCCATTGGCATTCATCTGCCAAACACTGTTGTTATTCATCTACCATTTGTTTTCCAAACAACTAAGATTCCTAAATGATGCACCAGAGATTTGGAAATCCTATTTATAGAGTCCTTTGGCAGAGGAAGTACAAGCAAACAGATGTGCTTGGGTACTGAACATTTAAATAGACAAGAATATATTCCTAATGAGATCTAGCCGATCGTAACTATATATAACATGAGCATTCCAGCTCATCTGCAGCAGACAAGTTTTTGACATGCACTTTGTAATTCAATTTGTGTAACGTCAAAAAGGCACCCCGAATAAAGTAAAAAACTCTGTGGCTATAATACTGCCCCCAGCATTTTTCATCCCCAAGAAGATAAGAAATTTGCAACTGTTGCAGATGAAATTCTGACTCATAAACACGTTTCTTAGAGCCCTCTGTCTTTCCTGAGGCTAGAACTGCAATGTGACTTTCTACCCTGGGTGACTGCATGTTTTGCTTCAGGCTCTTACTAGAGCATCCATGTGACATGTCACTTGCTGTCAAACATGACATACTTGCAGTTAAATCCGAAGGTTAGAAAATGGGATGATTTTAGCGCTGCATAGTGTGTTTGAAATCAAGGTCTGTCACGACAGAGCATCTCCTGACAGACACTGAGAAGCAGCGAAGCCCAGAAAAGCACACAACTGAGAGGGCCCTGTTAAAGGGTGCAATTTGAAGCAAAGCCTCAGCAGCCATTCCTCACACAGCAACAACAGATCCAAGGAAGAGAAGCACACTTTGGCCTGTATGCTTGAAGTTTGGTCTTGCCTTCCTTGTTGCACATTCCTTTCTCACCTCTGAACTTCTCCCATGGCCTCATTCTGCCCTCTTGTTAAACACAGACCCATCGATCTTCAGCCCCACCATCCTCTTCACCTAAAAGTGTCTGTGCAGACACTGCTGTAAAGAGCTATCAACTGCTGCAACGCAGTGGAAGTGAAGCAGTAAAATCAAGGGAATAAAAACAGAGTCTAATACTTCATATTGTACACTTACCTCCTCTCTGGCTTTTCTCTCAGCCTCTTCCTGCTTCTTCTTCTGCTCCTCTTCCTCCAGGATTTTCCGGCGCTCCTCCCGCCTTTTCTTCAGTTCATCCAGCTCGGCCGCTGCCTCCTGCTGCTTCTCCTTCAGCTTCTCCAACTCCTCATTCTCACCTCGGCGGCGGCGCTGATCTTCTAGCCGCTTTCCAGCCTCGACTTGAGACCCTGGCTTTGCTTCCTCAGCGTTTGCGGTTCCTTTCAAATTGGAGCGGCTTGGAAAGAAATGGAAGGGAAGGTGATGCACCATGGGTTATCCCTTCCTGGCCAGAGCCACACGCTGCCATGCACTCACCAACAACACAAGAGCCAGGTACTCAGAGTTATTACCTTATAGGACCTTTAGCAGCTTGCAAAGTATCACAGGCCTAAAATATTGATATCACATGTTGGTAGCCTGGGATACTACAAGGAGCACCCATCCCATCTGCTGCCAGTGAGGAAGGATTCTCTTGTGTGCACAGGAGCTGTACCACCCTGCCCAAGAACTCAAACCACCTCAATTTTTAAGAGGATTTTATAAGCGAGCTTGAAATACCTAACATCTTGCATATCTTCAGAAAGAGGTATGGTATCTCATCACCATCTCTACGGCGTACAGTGTCACACCTCTGCTCTGCAGTTTGTGCTCAGAGGAAACACTTCCAAAGGCATATTAGACTTCATAGAGAAAGCAGTGGAAATGTACAATATGAATGTACAATGGAAAGCCATAACTAATTCCTCTTTGTTCATTTTAAATGAAATAAATTTACATATATAAAACTCAGCAAAAACATCATGCTACGTTCTATGTAATAGAAGATGCCCTAATCCTTTGCTTTCAATGGCAAGTGTTTTTTCTAGACCCTCCAGAAAAGACAAGCATGTCTGGGTACATGTACTTGACTTGAAGAAAACAGGAGGAGACCAGAGAAGGGAGAGAACTCACAGTTTCAACAGTTTCAACAGTTTTAAATACTTTAAAAGGCTCCTATCTCATCTATAACAGCTATCGCTTGAACTCTCCCAGTCTGTGTGAACAGAAAGGTTCATCAGATCTTTTGCTGACATTTTTCAGGGAAAGTATGAGCTTTTATTAAGAAACTGGAAATTATTTATGGATGGCAACTTTCCACATGAAGAAACCAGAAGTTTTCCAACCCACTGTAATATATGAGACAGAAAGAATATCAAAAAAACCCCACCAAACCCCAAAGAATTCAGCCAACCCACTGTAATATATGAGACAGGAAGAATACCAAAAAAAATCCCTTCAAACACCGAAGAATTCACAGAGGTGAAGTGCATACTTTCAACAGTGTCAGATAGCATCGTCTAGTTAAGCAATTACCACACCCGTGTTCAAGCAATGTCTGCTCCCTGAGTGTGTGCAATACTACTGCTGACAAGGAGAGAAGGACCTAAGAGGTATCACTGTTGTTATTCATGAGAGAGAGGAAGCAAATATACTTGAGTTTGGGGTTTTTTTTTCTTTTTTTGTTTGTTTGTTTTAATGTTCTGCTCTGCCCTGTTGGCATTTTAAAGACCTGAATATTAATGACTTCATTAGTACAACCAGGGTGTTGTAGAGTATAATACCACAAGACAGTACTCCAACAATAAGGGTAACTGTTAGAGATGACCAGATTGAAGATGAAGAACAAATAAAGAACAAATATAATATAAATTTGCAGTCCAGTGAATCACACAATCCTGCAAAGGTGCTCTTCCTTCAGGCAGATGTTTCATCTTGATGGAGTTAACCATATAAAACAGGCTGTGGGACCAGAGTTGACTTATCAGTGGTTTCAACGTCACAATACAATCTACTGACAGAGTCTTCTGCCTTCACATAATCTTACCAAACTGGATGAAATTCAGTTCTAGCACAGCGTGCATGATTCAGGAACTGTATCATTAAAAAACATATGGCAAAACAGCATAACCAAACTGATGCTATTATGTGAATTAAGCTGCTGTATTTCGTCTGTGCAAGTTCAACACTAAAGTAGTAGGATCTGGCTCTTATTCTGCAACACATTTACTTGGTTTTAGAAAGTCTTTTCTATGCAAAAGCGTAGCATCACAAAGCAAAGAAAAAAATGTCCCAGGGGGGACTGTGAATGTATGTACCTTCAGTACCTTCTTATGCCTGATTTTCTAACCTAGAGTTACAACTACATAATATGTATTTCCCCTAATATCACTTTATCACAATCCTTTTCTGCTCCAGGCACTATTACTGAATGTGGTTTTTCAGCGGAATCACATAAACCATGAAAGTAGAACCACAAGATCACCCCACACCGTAAGCATCAAATTAATGTAAGTGGTCATGAATAAGGGCTTGCATCAGGTAGTAATGTCTAATTACAGGAACACATGTTTTTTTAATTAAAATAACATATATAATTAACTAGAGCATTATGAGAAAACACTGAAAACTTAATTCTACATTTCATTTAGCCCATTCAAAACCAAAGTGAGGAACAATACTTGAGATGTAAGGTATGATTTTGTGTGTCCAGCCTGAAATACCTCTGATTCAGTCTGCAGAGTTACTAAGAACCTAAAATGTTCCACAAGCCTCTGTAAGTACTTCTAAGGACCCAGTGCATCTATCCTGCAGGATCACAGGCCATGAGAAATCCCTGGCTATTTTAAGGCTTTTCTGTTTCATTACAAGATTGTAGCCTCTCTAGCAAGCATCCCAAGAACCTCACTATTTATATTTGTTTGTGTCTTCATCTTTGAAGTCATGTTGCCAGCCCACCCAGACCTGCAAACTTCAGGCCCAAAGAAGATGCAAGAGGTGACTTCTGATAGACATAATGATTATCCCTGGCAAGGGCAAATACTCAGCCCTCAGAATTAACAGAATTAAGAACATAACATTTGCCAAGACTGTCTCAATAAATAGCCACTCTATTTTAAATCAGCACAGAAGAAAGGTTAGTGACTTCATTGCAGATAGTAACTGAGATACTCTCAATTTTCAACTGATAAAAGACGAAGGTAGAATCTAGTATTAACATTTTTGTTTGGAGACCTCGGGGGACAATTTTTTCCTCCTTACAAAGAAGGACATTTGAAGTTTCCAGCTTATTTTATCCTCATGCAGCTTACAAGACTTCCCCTACTGTTTCTGCATAATCCAAAATAGCAAACAATAAACTGGCAGTAATTCTCTTTATTTTCCTTCACCTCCCAAACTCCTCTGTTTTGAACAGATTCTGGGAATCTCTGTTCCCAACTGTCAACATTGGGAAATATGTATTGAGATGCAGGGTGGAGAAAGAGTTTTGTAAGCACCTCTTTGGTGCTAAGAAATTAAGTTGGTTGCCAGCTTTCAGACAAGGAGGAAAAGGAAAGAAGTGGTTTGTGAGAGCTGAAAATGCCAGAACAATGTGAAAAATAATATGTTACATCATAGTTAGGACTTTTGCAGTCCTGTATGAGAATAGGGAGGAAGGCAGGTGGGAGGGGAGATGGGAAAGGGAAGCCATAAAATAGGTTTTTATTCTGTATTTCTCTTACTGACTGACGTAGACACAATCAAGACACAGATAAGATTTTTCTTTAGCCTCCACTACCCTATTTTATTCTCAGTTCTCACCACTGAAAGCCAAGTTACATGCTTCCTAACTAGTATCTGATATGTTCATGTAAAAACAAGAAGAAAGAGTTCCAGGCAAAGCCCAACAATGTGGGGGCAGTTCATTAGAAAATAGGCCAAGAGCCTTAATTCATACCGAACAGCCCAAAGAACATTAAAGCCTCTCCTGATGTTGCCAACCCAAGTCATCTACTCAGCTGATAAAAAGCTATTAAATAGGTTTCTTCCCACATTTGAGAAGTAGTAGAAGAAAAACAGAAAAATTAAAAAAGGAGTGGAAACTCAAATCGACATGTTGACACTAAGGCATGTCTCCCACAGGAAGTAAAGCAAATGAAAACACAACAAAAATATTTTTAGAAAACCATTCTCATGTTATTGATGATGTGACCCAAGCCATGAAGTAGGACAGTTCTGAGCAAGGCCGATTTCCTGCTATTCCATCTCCATCTCTGTCTGTCTTTTGCCCTTAGGTCAGGGTGCCTCCAGGGACTTTTGAACTGCATTTTATTTTGAGAAAGTTTGTTTTTCCCGGAAGAATCACGGGGGGAATGCTGAGATACAAGAGCAAATCCCATCTGCCACACACAGATTTCTCAAAGTGCCTGGGGAGCTTAACCTTTTTTTTGCTTGTGTCAATGTAAAAGAGGAAGAGAGGTACAGAAGGAAAAAAAAGATTAGATTTCTAACCTATTCTTTCCTGGGTTTCTGCTAAAAGGAAGAACTTCTGCCCTTCTTCACATATCCCCTCCTTTTAGCAAGCAGAATCCTTCCTGAATAAACTTTTCACTAAAAATTTGTTACCTTCACTGAATTTCCCAATATAGTCATAATGAAAATATTTCCTTGAAAGAAAAATAAAAATCAAACCGTAATACAGCTGATAAAAAGACAAAAAATAGGACATTTTAGCCAGGAGAGGTTTTCACCTAACTGAAAAATCACTTTTATAAAGAAGCCATTAATGTCACGGTTTGCCTTGAAATCAAGAGAGAAGCCCTGTCAAGAATTACCAACTGGATTGTGGTCCATACTGAAATGCAAAGTCTAATTAAAAGCAGGTGGGTAATTTGAAATAACTTCCTTCGGTAAAGGTTAAGATCTGACTTTAAAAAATCAGAGAATGCAATATTTGGGCTGTTGTAATTATTGGCCTCCGTGCAGATATTAGAAATAAATATCCTTCAAGGAAGGAAAGCCCAGCAGAGCAAAAATAAGCCGTTTGTCTCTGCTGAGGAAGCAAAGCTATTTACATCTGCTTTTTGTAGTTCATGTTGTTCCTGCAGCAATGTGGGGTCAGTTTGTTAGAAAACGGGCCAAGAGCCTGAATTCCTACCTACAACCCCATGAATGCTGGAGTCTCTCCTGACGCTGCCAACCCAAGTCCTCAGCGGCTGCGAGGCTATAAGCAGAGACCCAGAGATGGGCCCCTGTTCTGCTGTAACATCAGCAAGCCCAGTGCTCACTTGGAACTTACCCAAAAGCGTTCTCAGTAGATTTAAGTTTGGGGACAGTGAGTTCACGTTCTCCGTTCTGTGCCTTTTGTTCGGGAACTCCCTTCTTACGATCCCAGATACTTTTCATTTCCTCTTTGGGTGCTTTTCCTTTATCCTTGTCATCTTTTACCTGCTCAGGAGATACCATAAATCACAGAACAAAAGAAAGAAACAAACAAACAAAAAAGAAGTCACCATGAGGCATTCTAAGTAACAGTGGAAGAACATGGATTTTTTGGCATCAGTTATTAACTAAGAAAATGTCTTCAAAATGTTTATGTGCTTTATGGCAGAAATAGCCTGCAAAGCTCTAAACTGTAACCATCCACCACTCTGCTGTCCTGATCTGAACTCAAGATGAAAACATCTTGAATAAAATTGTCAGTCTGCTCTGCACGTTTGCTGTGGCTATCGGACTGTGTTACCCCACTGCTTCATTCTGCAGCTGCACCCCACTCTCTTCCTTTTCACTGCAGCATCTTTTGCCTGTTGTCTAATTAACATTCCGGGTTGCAAACTCCCTGGGACTAGGCTTGTCGATACATTCTCAGTACAAGGTCTCTCTTCCTTTTCACTGCAGCATCTCTTGCAGCATCTTTTGCCTGCTGTCTAATTAACATTCTGGGTTGCAAACTCCATGAGACTAGGCTTGTCGATACATTCCCAGTACAAGGCTCAGGGCATTGGAGCAATAAAAATCATACATAACTTTCACTGACTGTCATGTTTGCATGACAAAGTTCATGCTCTTTCCAGTGTCAGATGGATATTTCAGTATTGCAAGAATAATGGGCAAATCACAAAATTATCTTTATATCAGAGTAAAAATTACTCTGACAAAAAGCACAATCCTACTAGGGGCTAGTCATGGATAGTGTTATCAGACATGAATATTTAATCCTATGAAGAAGCAAATGTTCTTTCTGGAAACACTAGAGCAAAAATTCCCTCTATCCTTACAAAATTTTGTTCTATCATACTTAAGAGTAATCAAGTATATTTAGTACATGAATTTGACTATACAGTATTCCTTCAGTTATAAGCTTGAAGTATTTATCAATATCACAGATGGCCTAATCCCAGAATGCTGAGTCATGGTTAGATGCTGATAAGGGGAGAAGGATAAGAGCTGATTTAAGTTCTTTATCCTCAGGTAGAGTTATTCCACTCAACCTAAATAAACTTTCAACAGCAGCAGATGAAACATTTAACTCCAAATTTTTATTTATTATTTTTTTCACCCCAGCTTTACAACGTTGGAGGAAGATCCTAGCTAGCAAGCAAGGAATGCCTTCTGGGAAAAATTCATATGAAGACCTTTAGTAAAAAAATTCTTCTGTCCCTTGGAAGCCTGTTGCCATCCCATTTTCTAACTACAGAGAAAAAGAACATCCCTAACAGTCCTGTCTGCAACACAACCGCTTTTATGGCATTCCAAGCTGCACCCTGAAATAAAAACCTAATACACACATCCACCCCCAAATCAAATTAAATTTTGATCTTTCCTCATCAAAGAACTTCTGGAAATGTAATGTCTTTACCAATATAGTACGAGTTCAGAGTCTTCAAAGTCAAGATCCCCCTAAGGTGTTGAATTAAGCTGCTGAGTGAAGACCCAAAGTCAGTCTCTGGCTTTACTCAAGGACACTTTGCTTTTATGGACAATGCCAAGGTGGAATGCATCACAAGTGAGCACTGGGTGGTTAAACTTCTCGAGCAAATTAGCCACTGGTGAGGGACGTTGGACACAACCCACAGAGGCATTTGTTCTGCAGACTTTCCCTGCCTTCTCCTGCCAAAGCTGACCTGGCAGAAGCGCCCTGACAGACAAGAGGGGAGTTCAGTTTCCATGACTGTGCATTCTTTGGCCATGACGCTGTAGCTGCTAGCAAACAAGGCCATTATTACTAGCAGCCTCAAGGAATGGCTTTCTGTTTTCTAGGAGCTGGACTGAGACAACCAGGGCTATTCATTGAGTCTAATGAATGCCCTTAGACAGTAACATCTTTTGGGTGCTCCCAAATCTGGGCAATGCTGTAGTTAGTGATCACGTTCACAGCAAAAATCTCTGCTGCCTGTTAGTGATCTCCTAACCCACCAGTCCCAGTCAGGGTGATAACTGAAACCAGTGATGTTGATCGTTGCAAGATTTCGCATGCCAGGATGTCTGTGTTGGGATTTTGAGAGCATAGGATTTCCTTTGCTGAGATTTTCATCAAGACCTTTCTAAATTTCATTAAAAAGCCAGTACTTCCAGCTGCCTGATGTACTGAAGTCCACTGGGGAGGGTCATATCTCTCATATCTTAATTGAAATCACTGAGAAAACTAATATTAAAACAATATAGTTTAAAAAAATAATAAGTTAGGAAATAGCATTTCAGAAGCCAGTAAGATTTATGGCAATGTGTCTGCATTTGAGAAAACCGTTGATATAGCTTGGCTTCTTTATTCAAAAAGATGATAAAACATGGTATTACAGAAACATTTCACAGTTTTTGGGTCCAATCCTTCTCCTACTAATTTTAATGCCAAAAGAAAGATTGATTAGCACAGAAGCAGAAGCCATTATGTCCCATTCCAAAGACAGGCAACAGAAAAAGTACTTTCCCTTGTCCTAGTGCTTCCCTCAGTTACAAGCTAATTCAGTTTTTGCTGAATTTAGTAACAAGAACTACCCTGACTCCAGCTGGAGTAGATAGGTGGTATTACCTGAACTAAAAATAGTTCACATGCTCCCACAAATCCTGACCAGCAAGTCAAGATAGAACACAACCAAAAGCATGTTTAGCTAACTTCCAGCTTTTATTTATTTATATTTTATCTTTCTCTACACTGCTGTTAGGGTGTTATGCTAATATTCGAGAGTTGAGATTTTTAAATCTAGAGTTTGAATAACTTCAGACCACAGCAAATCAGTTACTAAGGTTGGGGCCATTTGGCAAACTTGATTCCTTATTTGGGTTCAATTACTTGTTGACTTAAAAGCTGTGGGCATCTGGGTCTAGGGCTGCCATTTAGAGTCAACTACCATACCCAAATACCATAAGAAAAGCAACTGTTGCAGCATGTCTAGCCAAACTGGAAGCAGGAAATACCAGGAGTCTCACATCATGAGAAAGCTTGTTCTTATGAACTTTCCAGGCCACTTTGGAGAACCAAAAATTGTGGGACAGTTCAGAAAATGAGACAGATTTTTCTTGCCAATTTGATCAAAATCTGAATTTTAAGGACCAGATTTTGGTCACATTAAGACAAGAAATGTGCTTGTGTTGCACAAGTGAAAAAGCAAAATCTGATTATGTAGATTCACTGTATTCCTTCAGGATCTTGTTCATGATATACTGCCATCCTCTTAACGGCACACAAGGTTCAGAAATAGGCCCTGTTGAATTTGCACATCCCTGAAGGAGGGGATAAGTGGAGATGGGAGCTTGATCTTGACTTGGTTTGGAGTCAAAGACTGTCAATTTTTCTTCACAAGCCAAGAAGCAAGAACTGAAATTTCCAAAACCGTGCAAAACACTTTGAATGCTCAGCTTGATACATACACAAGAATTATCTTTTGGTGGATGGGTATGCAGCATTACACTAAAAGCAGGACTCACTTAAATTGTCTCAGCTTGAGCTTCCAAAAATGGAAGCACTAAAGTTACAAATCACGTCTAAATCTTACTGATTTCCTTGAACAATCTAGCCCTGGGGCTATGGTTTAAAAGCATGATGAGAGCTCCAGTGAGCTGACTGAGCTCTACATAAAGATAAGCAGGACGATTTTGTCTCCAGTAGTGTCCTGTCCCACCCCCTCCCCCAAACCCATATTTGTGGCCAGTTACAACCTCCTTTTTACTTGTAATATTCAAGACTGCGTGCAACAGTGAATATTTACGAGCTTATTCTGTTTTATGAAGAACTCTTAATATAGCTCCCTCTCTTATTTTTTGCACAGCTTTTTCCTCTGCTTTTGCAGCCGGGTTAATTTAGAGTGATTGTGTAGCTTTTCTAGTGTACTATTCTGAAGGATCTCCATTAGGTCTCATTTAACTCTTCCCCTTTCTAGAGTAACTTATTCTAGTATTGCCAACCTCTGTTCATCATAAACCTTTCTTCTAACCATCTTCATCACTTCATTCGCCTTTTCAATCTCATGTGTACCTTACTCAAAATCTGATACCTTGGTTGATAAAGCCAGGAAACTGACATAAAACCTCGCGACATGATATGCCTTCTTCACTCTCTGAGGGTCAGTTAAGAATCTACAGCATGTTTCAAATTAATCCAACTAAGGATGCTGGACTGAACCTTCTACAACCCTCAGTGTTCCCAAGAAGTTCGAAAGGCATCAAGCTGCCTAGATCTGTGCTGTGGTTCCCTTTAAGCCAAACAGACCCAGCCGAACCCAAATGGGTCTAAATCTCCAAGGTCTTGACCAGTCTTGATGTCTAATTAGAATCAGGGATTATTTTGATACCTGCTGCATTGAACCAAAAGCACAGTTGCTACACAACACTGAACATGGTTCCCTGCGTCCAGCTGTAACCTGACAAGCAAATGGTCCCCAAATCTTATTTACTTACCATACAGTAAAACACCATGGCACCAGCTCCTGTGTTTACAGTGGAAATGCAATGCAGTAAATTTTGTAGATTTTCTCTTTAAAACAAAAGAATAATCTTGGGTATGCACAGTTTATATCATGGGGCATTGGGGGAGAATAATTAGTTAAGGCAGTCAGGTGGCCAAAGGGCCTCAGTGATGATGATGATTATTGTAAGAGTAGGTATCAGTCATAGGGAAAAAGTTCGCAGTAAAGTGGGAGGAAACCAAGGAAGGATGATTAGTTGATACAGTCTTGAAAAATTCATCCCCAGGGTGAAAACCATCCTTGCATCTATTGACCAAACTGAATTTCCTGAAATATTTGTTCTAAGACAAACAGAACTTGGTTCTAAAGCCCCAAAGGAACAAAGTAGTTAAGCATTTACTTAATTTTAAGCACATACA